AAGGGAAATTATTTTGAGGGGATTAATTGCAATGCATCTTTGACTGTAACAAAGCTTCTTAAATTTAAAATTCATTGCAGGACGGGGGACATAGTTCAATGGCACAGCACCTGTCTGGCAAGCATGAGGTCATGAGTTTGAATTCTGGTACCAAAGTAAATAAGTAAATAAGTAAAATTCATCCTGTATTTTTTCAATGTACTTTATATGGTTATTGTAAAACTAAATATTTTAATATTTAAAAATTAATACAATATTTTAATACTTAAAATAGTACCTGGCACATAACAAGTGTTGAATAAATACTGTTCATTATTTTCTAACTTAATTATGGAATAATAATCTTCAATATTAATGTAATGAAATCCATCAACTTTTAATTTTAACATTTTGGGGATCATATTTAACAAATCTTTCCTGTCTTAAGATCTCAAAGATATTCTCTTTACATTGTATTCAATTATCTCTGTAGTTTTATGTGTTTCACTTTTCTGTGGGGTTTTTCGTGGGATAGAGAGGTATTAAAGATTGAAGCCAAAATCTTTGCATTGAGCTGCATCCCTAGCCATTTTGTGTTTTTATTTTCGGATAGGATCTCGCTAAGTTGCCCGGGCGGGGATCAAACTTGTGGTTCTCCTACCTCAGCTTCTCAGAGTGCTGGGATTATGGAGGGCACCTCCATACCCAGCTTTCCTTACACTTTCCAATTTCTAATCCATCTGCAGTCCACCTTTTCTCTTCAACAATACTTATTGGACTCAGTTTCAAAATTTTTAAAAAAAGGATGAGAATGTAGCTCAATGAGAAGATCCTGGTTCAATTTCTGCCATTAGAAAAAAAAAAAAAAAAAGCCCAGTGTTTGTAATCTGTTACATTGCATTAACCTAATAAATTCATTAGTGAGTCGATAGAAGATTGTTTTTATTATCTTCATTTTATGTTATATTTTAATATTTGTTAGGAAAAAATGTTTCTATTTTACTCTTTTTATCAGAGTTAAATTATGTTTGCTTTACTCTTCATTGTATGTTTTAGAACCAAATGTTCAGTTTATCAAGAAATACTACTCAAAGTTTGATTAAGATGGCATTGCATTTGTGAAATAACTTTACATCAAACATACAGTTTGATGTTAAGTAATTGCACCCATTAAAAGTTCATTTATTTGAGGCTGGGGATTTAGCTCAGCGGCATAAGCACCTACCTTGCAAGCGCGCAGATGTGAGTTTGATCACCGGTACCAATAAAAAAAAGTTCATTTATTCATGTTTACTTATAAAAATAATTTCTAAAATTTCTTCACAGTAATTTTGCACAAAAAGTAGGTTACTATTGAATTCCTTAGTTTGAAGTACAGTATGAATGTTAATGTTCTCTTCTGAATTTTTTAATTAGTAACAGTTGGTAAAGGGGGTTATTTGATTTTCATTGTCCAGTCTTTCATCCGGCAACCTTACCAAGTTCTCCCATTATTTCTAATTGTTAGTCCATTTAATTGCTTTGATTGGTTTATTTATTTTGTGATTCTAGAGATTGAACACAGGGCCTTAGACATGCTAAACAAGTGCTCTAACATTGAGCTACATCCTAGTCTTTTTTAAAAAATTTTGAACCAAGTTCTCACTAAGATGCCCAGGCTGGCTGGAACCTGCTATCCTCCTGTCTCATTCCCCTGAGTAGCTAGGCTTACAGCCCTGTGTCACCACACCCAGCTAATATCTTAGGTTTTCTATGCTGATGATTAAGTAAGGGTTTCATTGTTTTCCTTTTGATCATATATCACTTTTTTTCTTATTTTTTAAAATCACCTTAGCCAGGTTTTACAGTATTATGTTAAATAAAAGAATAATGTTAAGTAGTGAGAACAATAATGCAATAATCCTGTATTCTACTGAAGAAAATAAGTTCAAAAGTTCTTCATTAAGTACATTTCCTGTAAACTGTTGGTAAAGAGGATTAATCAAGTTTCAAAAGTTCTATAACTTTTTGAGAAGTGTTTTTCCTTCATCGGTTGAGATTATGAAATGGCATTTCTCTTTTAGTAAATTAATTGGATGAATTACATTGATCGATTGTCTAATAAACCTTTCTTGCTAAACTGTCACGATTCATTGCATTGAAGTATTAGATTCAGTTGCTACATTAATTTGCTGGGGATGCCACTAAAAAAATACCACAGACAGGGTGGCTTAAACAACAGGAATTAATTTTCTCATGATTCTGGAAAGCAGAAGTCCAGTCAAGGTGCCAGCAGGGTTGGCTTTTTCCTTTGCACTGTGTCTTACCATGGTCCTTGCTCTGTGTGTGTTCATTCCTTGGTGTCTCTTTTTATGTTACCTCAATTGCCTCTTCTTGTAAAAATACCAGCCAGACTGGTCTATGACCCACCTACATAACCACATTTAGCCTTAATTACCTCTCTAAAAATCATTATTTTTCAAATACAGCCACCTTTTGAGACACTGCTAATTAGTATTTTCATATACATGTTTGAGGAAGACAGGATTCAACCTGTAGGAGTATCTAATATTTTTAACTTTCATATTTACGTTCATAAGAAAATTTGGCCTATAATTTTACTTCATAATTGAGAAGATTTGGAAAGATTTCTCTATTATCTGAAATTACTTGTGTAAATTACAGATTACAAGCTCCTTGAAATATTGTTAGAGATGGGAAGGAGGGCTCTGTGCTGGACGCAGTGGGACTAGAACAAACAGACCCCAGGCTCTCCCGGTGAGTCAGTGCCATTCCTGGACCAGGGCTAAAGAGAACAAAGCCGCACCAGCAAGCAAGCCCCATCTGGGAAGCAACGCCATGCACAGGCCCTGGTTGGGCTAGAACAGACAGAGCCCAGCTCCTTCTGGCACGCGAGCTGGCAAACCAGAAGTACCAACACCCAGGCCTCTATAATCCCAGCCCCCGCCATAAGCGACAGGCTTATCCAGAGAAACACAGGCTGTGATGATGGCTGTGGAGGTGAAACGCAGCTGGACGCCTTGATGCTTTGGTGTTTCACTGACGCTGCAGGTCTAGGGCCAGTGGTCTGATCATAGGTTAGGAGGATAGCGGTACACAGTGTGACATCTAGGGGGATCTCCTTCCGAGGGTTGCAGCCATTGTTGATTCCCTATGGTCTTGTTTTAGAAGCCCTATATCATTTCCACTGTTTTGTTGGGTTGAGTTTTGTTCTCTTTTGTTTTGTTGGATTATTTCAAATCTCGTAGCAGAAGCAGCTATTTCAAAGTTATCAAGATATATTATGGTAGCAATTTTGGATTTGCTATAGGCTTGTTTTGAAGTCCTTTATTGCATTCATTGTTTTGTTTTTATTGTTTCTATTCTATTCTGTTTGATTTTCACTATATCTGAAGTTATCTGCAGCTATTTTGAAGACATCAAAAAGGCATTACAGTAACTATTGTTGCTCTTGTAATGTTTTGAAGTCCTGTACCTTTTACACTGGTTTGTTTTGATTGATTTTATTGTTTTATTCTCTTTAAAATAAAAACAAAGAAAACTCAACACTCATAACCCAAGTTTAGAGTTTACACTTTTTATATTATGATACTTCTCCAAAGAAAGAAAAAAAATGAAATTTTTGGTTTATAAATGTTGAAAAAAAATTTAAAAATTAAAAAATCTATTACAGCTTTTTTCTATAAAGAAAATAGATTCTCTAAATATGTCCTTGGAAAACAGTAAACTAAGGCAGGCTTTAATTTGATATCTCAAAATATTGCTGTGAAACTATATAATTGTGTATGCTTAGAAAAATATAGAGCTATACAAATAAAAGAAGCTACTATTATGAAGCAAAACAAAAAAATACTGATAGAATTTCTAGTGACTTCTTTATGACTACAGAGATTTGAATGTGCGAGGTAGAGATAAAATCTCTTATTAGCATTTCCATTTCTTTAATATTTGTTGATCTCACATTTTCTATTTCTTATTGCCATAATTGTGATATTTTTCAGTTTTTATGCAGGCATCAGGTTATGTTTAATAATGTCTATTATTGTTATGACTTTCACATTTATATCTTTTTTTAGAAGCAGAATATATTTATTAAGAGAAAGCTTCTGTCTGAGATGGACAGAAGGAGTCCCAAGTGGGTTGCCCTATGTCTTTCATTGTAGTGGTTTATCTTTAATTATGATGTAAGATAAAAATCTAATTTTATTTTTCCTTATTTCATTAGTCTGTTTTACTACCATCACCTTAAGTAACCATTTCCTTCCCGGTGATTAATAAACCCCCTTTATCATGTATAAAATTTCACATATATGTGGAAGAGATTGTACTTTTATCTCTAGCTCACTCTCCTTTTTTCCAATTTAAATGTTGGCAAAATACTAATACTTTATTTTCTTACTATATACATTTCCTATTCACCACAGCTTTGCAGAGTACTGTCTCTTTTTCTTAAATGAGCAGATTCAGAAAGATTATATTTAGAGTAAAACTTACGTAATGCTGAATGACGTAACAGGACTTCTGACTCTACAGTAACTGTTTTTTTCCCAGTTAACTTCTTGTAGCTATGTTTACCCATTCATATAATAACTATTGAACTCCTGTTCTGTTCCGCATACTATTCTAGCTTCCAGAGCAATAGCAGAACACAAGCCAGATTAAAATCCTTATTCTCATAGAGCTTCTGTTACAGTTTATATCTTGATATCCCCCCAAAGCCTCATACTCCCAGATGCGGACCTTCTGAAAGATGATTGGATTGAGGGGCTGTGGTTAGGAGGTGGGTCTTGCAGGAAAGATGTTTTGTTAGGGCATGGTCTAGGAGGGCTTATCTCCTTCCTTCTCCAGCTTTGCTCTTTGCTTCCCAGCTACCATGAGGTGAGCAGTTTTCCCCTGCTATACCCTACCTTGGAGCTGGCCACCTATGGACTAAAACATAAGTCATTTTTTTTTGCAAACCCTGTGACTTTGGCAGTCATAATTCTTTCAGATTTTAAGAACTGAGTTGTTGGACTATTAAGAATTTTGTAGGTTTTTTATTATTTTACTATTAAAATTTTTAAGTCTTGAAATTGGTTAAAGTAAAAAGTAACCATATATTTGTCTTTATATATTATACACACCTGAGAAATAAATAGTGCTTTAAGTAGGATTTTAAAAAGCATCATATATACAAAGAAGGCCTCAAGTCAAATGCATAAATACACAACCCACTGAAGATTCAGTTTCCAAAGTTTCCATTACAAAAAACAGAAGCCATATGTACCAGTGCACATGGCCAATAATACAAGGTTCACTTTGGTTACAAGCAATCACAGAAGCACATGAACAGATTAAATGCATACTTTGAATTAAGACCTGACTGACTTTGTCTTCAGAAGTTTGGTATTAAATAGTGATATAACTTTGGCACAACACAGATTGAAACAATGACTTCTAAAAACCTAAGTACAAAGAAAATCACTCTCTCATCCCCACCTGATATCATACCTCCTCCCAAATAAATCTTGGCCATAAAAAAAAACCCAACCCTTTGGCACAGGTTTTGTCCTGGTTGTATATTAACAAAAGGGGTTAGGATTTTATGGATGGATCTGGGGGAAAAAAATCTCTCATTTGTCACATCTGGGCATACTGGTAGCAAACAGCTCTAGGTGTCTTCATGAAATTTGAAAGATAAATGCATGAACTTCGCCTCCAGGAAACCTGGGTCCTCAGCCTGCTTCTACCACCAATTTAGTGTGTAATTCCAGGCACACAACTGAATATCTCTAAGCCTCCATTTTATAAACTAAGGATAAAGACATTGGCCCTGATCACCTCATTCTACTTAGGTCACAAACATGTGACTTAAGTCACATACATACAGTATAAAATGGTGTCTTAGGTATCATGTTTATTAATTCAAATCCAAGTCTAGAATTGGAGGCTTTTCTAAGAAGTCCAGCACAGAAAAGGCACTAGTATGAAAACAAGGTATTTCAAGGGTGTAAAAGAACACTGTATTAAGTCTTAGAGCTAGCTCTGTTGATAGATGCGGGCTTATGCATAAGTTGGTTTGCAGAACTCATGTAATATCTCTTAACTCCTACACAGAGATTTTACTCCAAAGAAATCACATCTATCAATTGGCTACCATTGTGCCCTTAGGGTATGACCATCTTCTCAACATTCTGCTGGTGATATTAAACAAGGGAAATAGCACGTGATAATTAAAAAATAGGTAGGAGCCACTTAAGCCACAAGGTGCCCAACTGTGATAGCCTGTAGTTCCCCTCTCCCCATCCCACCCTTTACCCTTCTTGTCTTTAACCCACACACACACACACACATACATTCCTCTCACATACTAGAAGGAACTCTAAGAACCCCAACCCTATTCGGGTTCCAAATAGCAAAGCTGAGTACTCTGTCTACTGTTACATGCTAAGGAATTTTTAAGTGCCCAACAAATACTTGTTCAATCAAAAAATGAATAATGGAAGAAACCAAAAGCCAATGTGTGTACTTCAGAGGATGAGCTAGGGAGCAGGATGGAATGTCTTGGAGATACAACCAGTATGGATCAAAGCAGCCCATGGGAACCCTCACAGCGAGGCCTCAGCAACAGCCTGATCTAATGACCCCTCTCTGGGTTATTGAGGTAACAGGCCTGCCATCCTGATACGAGTCAGCTCCCGAGGGGAAGATCTCTCTGAGGCTCAAGTCCGGACAAATGGCCTTCTATGCAAAGCTGCTCTGGAGCCTGCATTCCCCATTAGCCCAGCCTCAGCCAGCTACCAGGAGACCCACCGGTGTGCATGGGGGAACCACAGATATTTCACTGCTGGAGCACAAACCAATCTCAGATTCAGAAGTGTCATCAGAGATAGTTCATTTTGAGCACAGTTGGAACTTCAGCAACACACAGTTGTCCAGTCCAGTGAAATCATAGGGGATCATCATAGAGGACAAAGGTGGGCCTGGCAAGCAAGTTCTCAGGAACTCCAGGATCAAGCTGAGTGGGGTTCTTCTTCAGGCGGGGCCTCACAGTAACTTTCCTCCATGTGTGTAGACAGCAGGGTTGAGGTGTGTGCTGGTCAGGCTTCCCAGCCCCTCAGGCGAGCTCCACAGTGGCCCTGAAAGACACCAAATGACAGCGTAGTATTGACTAGCACACTCTCCTGCAGATGGTCACACCTGTGTCCAGGTGTTCTCTTTCCCCAGCTTTCTGACACACTGCTTATTTCACTCACTTTCCCTTCAAAAGAAACAGACAGGCTCCTGAGAGCTTCTTTGTCTTCCCCACAGCTTCCCTCTAGGAAATACCAGGAGCCCTCTCTGGTCTCCAGGTTATGCATTCATGTATTTAGCATAACACACACACACACACACACACACACACACACACACACACACGAACAATGCATACATGCAAACATGAGAACTGCCCAACTCTCCTCTTTGCCTGAATCCAGAAAAACAAAAGAGACGGTGGTGTGGCAGGAAGGGGACAAAACTGAATCAAGAGGCCCGGATTCTCACGTCAGCTATGGGAAGGAGCCATTGAGCCATCCTGAACCCCAGGCTCCTTGTTTGTGAACAGAGGAGCAGCGTGCAAGTGTGGAGGAAGAAGGCGGAGGGCGCTGTACACGCCTGAGGATGCCACAGCTTCCACGATTCATTCTCTACTCAGATTCCTATTGTTTAATGTTCCTTGGGGCAAAGGGAAAGAGCAATTTGTTTCCTAAAAGAAACAATGTGAGGAAAGTCATATAGTTTCAAACTATTAGGAAGTTCTGGAGCAGAAAAGAAGAATACAGTATTTAATCCCTCATCATAAGAAATGCAGTCCTTCCTGGGTATGTCCAATCTACATAGCTGACCGGAGGATCAATGAAGTTAACCTATGTGGAAGCACTGTGAAAGGTAGATATTTGAATACAAACATAAAGATTTAAAATTAAGATAGCAGAAAACACATAAACCCACCCTAGGCTGGGCCCTGAATTAGACAAATGATCTGCATCTCCTTCTAAGTCCTATGGTCACTGAACTTGAGGTCATATTGATGCTCCTACACAGGATCAGCCTCAGAAGGAACCCAGCCCTCAGGGCTGGCAGACAGTTAATCATAGGGGTCCCCCAGGCATGAGTGTAGCTGCACCAGACAGAGTGAGGCGATTCATCTGGGGAGGTGGATCCTCTGCACTCAAGTACACAGGCTTTAGAGCAGAATGTCCTGCTTCCAATCCTCGCTCTGCCATCTCCAGCTGGGGGACCTCGGGAGAGTGACTTCATGTCCCCGAGTATCAGCTTCCTCATCTCTCCACGGGGATAACAGCACTGTCTCCTAGCATTGGTGGTAAACTTCAATAACTGTAAGTCACCGAGTGCAGAGTGCTCACATGCTAGGTACTCGCACACTAAGTTCTCAGTGTATGGCAACAGGAGCCCTGTGCAATACCCTGGTTAAGGGAAGGGTAAGGGGCGGGGGCAGAAATGGGTGGGAGATGGGCTTCCTCCTGCTCAGCAGGACAGCATGCTCCCCTGGAGGAACCCACTGCCTCACGCCATGAGCTGGGCCTGAATTCAAGGGATTTCAGCAAGCGGCAGTAGAGACTGCAGCAAGAAAACCTGGCTCAGCTGTATACACACAAGCACTCCTGCTTCTCAGAAAGGAACATTTAGACCCACTATATCCACTCATGCCAACAGGGTTCCAGAAAACCAGAACAAAGGGAATATATTTGTATTTCTCTTTCTCCTCTCACCCAACTCCCCACTTCAATCTGGTGCCCAGAAGAAAGTGACACAGGCTGAACCTTTGGGTAGTACTGGTCACGGAGGAGAAGATATCATAGACATCAACCCCGAGGATTTAGTGACCAAAAAGACTTTCACCATATGCAATGAACATCTGCAGGGTGAGGCAGAATAAGAGTAGAAGTGACAGTCTCCTCTTCAACACGTTACATTGTCATCCATTTATACGCCTACAGCCTTCTAGCAAAAGGGTAGCTTCACATAGAAAGGCATTTGTATCTGTTTTGTTCATGCCCAGCACATGCTAGAGGATCATTCAGGAGGTGTGCATGGAACACAGAGAAAGTCCTGGTTACCTGGTTTCATTTTTCATTCGCCAGCCATCCCGACACTTGTGAAACCAGAGTTCTTGACCAGGAGAAATGCTGCTGTTCTCAAGATCTTCTGCACAAAAAGTCAATCTAAGAGGGAAAGATACCACGGATGTAGCTTGAACTCTTCAGAGATCCAGAAAGTGCTGTCACTCCCAACTCCAGAGCCTTCAGGATTGCCCATCACTACTACAAGATTCCAAACATCTTGCATCAAAGGCTTCCATGATCTGGCTTCAGGCAAGCTTAATTACACCTCTCCCACTTTCTTGCGTTTGTCTACCCAAAGGCCACCCACCCCTCAAGGTTATTGCCTCTTCGAAGCCACCTGCACCACCAAAGCCCCCATGAATAAAACCCTCCCTGCAACAAACTTAGTAAAAAAGTATCCCTTCTAAGTGTTGGTTTTTAAATGTCATTGCTTCATATGACATGAAATCATTACCTTACAATGGCTTTACCATTGTTCTGCTTTAAGTTTTTGCTACTTTTTTTATTGCTACAAACAGTACTGTGGCATATACACCAAAAATGGAATTTCTGGATTATGGCATATGCATTCTGACTATTATTGAGTCCCTCTACAAAGTGGCTGGACTGGTTTTAATCTTGGTTGTAGAGTTGTAGTTCTCTTCTCCCATCTCATCACCACTTGGTAGAATATTTTCACCAACAGAATATTTTCTGTTGGTTGTGAGTGGGTCTCCTACTACTGTGATTTGTATTCATTTGCATTTCTCAGTTGTGAGTGAGCTAGGTCTGCTTTTAAGCTTATAGATCCTAAGGTCATTAGGCTTCCTGGGGAAGGTTCTTAAACTATTCTTAATGTGGCTTTTGTCCTGTCTTGGCATTAGGGTCAAGTATCTCCATTCAATGATCACACAGTCACACTAATTATAAACCATTGTTTAGTATGGAGTAATCACAGTTTTTGTTTTTTTAATCATAGTTTTCATGAATGGTGTTTAGGCTCCTAATTTCTCCCCATGATTTTGCCTGTTTATTTTCTGTGTCTTTGTAATTTGCCACTGACTTCTAAATGTTCTTATCAATGGATATTTCTGGAACATTGTAAATAAGGAGCGTTGAATTCTTTCAGTCAAGGAGTTTAGTCAGCTAGGCATGGTACATGCCTATAATCCCACTAGTCTGGGAAGCTGAGGCAGGAGAATGGTAAATTCTAAACTAACCTGGGCAACTTAGACACTTAGTAAGATCCTATCTCAAAATTTTATAAAGGGCTGGGAATATAGCCCAGTGTGAAGGCTCCGAGCTCAGCCCCCCATGTGGAAAAAAATGGATGCAAATAAGACAAGTGAATAATTGTAATAGGAAAATACCAGGAGAAAAAAAGGGGCTGGAAGTTGTTTTCTCCCATGCCAAGACTGGCAATGACCACTCCAGGGGTCGGGGAAAGAACGTGGTTAAGAAAACCCTCTTCTCTTCACAAAGGTCTCCCAGGCTCCCCTGGCTTTGAGCCGTTCCCAGCTTCAATTCAGAAAGAAGCCTGCTCAGAGAGTCAGGGCAAAGCACTAGGGGCTGAGACATAAAGGTCTGGATCTTTCATGCGAGGCTTGGGATTCAAAGAAACCGGGGAGCTGCCAGCTGGCATGCCACACGGGACTCTCTGTTACTTGAACGTAGAGCCCTAGCCCCAGATCCCTGACTCCAAGCCTCTGAAGGAGAGACATAATAATGCTCTGAAAATAAGGTGCCAGCAAAAGCCAGGGCCCCTCACAGACCTCATCTATGGGACAGATGCCCCCGTTTGCCCCACAGTAAATACAGCAACAAAGCAACTTGCCCAAAGAGCCTTGTCAAGGAGCTCTGTTCCTCTGGGCCAACATAGGGCTTGGCAAACAGAACAAGGCTGGATTCCGGCTCCCCTCCCTTGCCAGCCCTGTCAGTCAAGGGCCTGTGATCAGGGTTAAGATGCACAGCAGTTAACAGAAACTTTGATCAGAGTCACGATTCCCTGCAAAGGTATTTGAGGTTTTGTGTGCACGCTGTGGATAGATACAGAAGGGCGAGGGTGCATGCTGAGCAAAGGAATGTGGCAGAGACATGGCCTTCTGTTCACCACCGACACAAGCAGAGAGGGGACAGGAGCACTTACTTCTGCTGGGTTTCCCCAGATTTGACACGAATGCGCCGGATGTGCAGCTCCTGAGCAGAGCCACTGGGTTGAGTAAACAAGCTGCGAAGTTCCTTCCACAGGTGGTACCAGGACTGTGATGTCTTCTCCCATGTGAGTCTGACCTTCAGGAGGTCACCCAAGTCCTCCTCAGTGTAGACCAAGAAGGTGTTGGTGGCATTCAGCCCAATGTGCTCCACTCTGCAAGGCAAGAGAGAAGCTTTTCTCTATCACCTGGACAGCTGCCACATTGTCCGGGATGACACAGTGGCAGCTCCTTCCCCACAAGAACCGGAGAGAAACAGGTGAAAGGTTCTTCCCCACCTTGTGCCCTGTGCCCCACCCACAGGACCAACACAAAAGCCCCCCTGTGCTCCACACTGACAGAGGCAATTCTGCCTGCAGCACCCTGACTTATCAGATCCATTCCTGGGCACCCCTCCATGAATGTTTCTACTTCTCAGGGAGACAGGACCAAGAACACGCAGAAATGAGAAAGCACAAAGAAGTCACATTCACACACAGTAGTGTGCTATTCTGATCCGTCCTTTCCTTCCTGTCTGCCTCGTCTGGCACCTGGTATGGCCTACCTTACCCCAGTTGTGAGTTAACGCAAGTCTAGTCTTCCAGCTAGAGCCTGAAGTGAGTTACTTTGCTAATGTTTCTTCAAAATCCTAACATACTTGGCAATGTGCTTTGTTCCTGGGGGAGCTCAACAAGTACCACACACAGACTGCCACGTACTCCTCCTACAGTGGATCATTACAGAAGGGCCTGATTCCCTAAAGCCTCAGGTGTCAGGCATTGCCTGAAATGAAACAGCAGTTTCTGTCCAGCTGATCAGCAGTTTCTCACAGTGCTGATTCATCCTAGGAATTTCCCAGAAACATCCTGAGTCAAGGGCTTGCTGGAAAGCACCCAGCAGAAGAGAGCACAGGAGGCCAGCTGGAACTACCCAGCCATTCCCCTGGGCCACCCGACTTCACTCTCCCACACTTGTCCTGAAGCTCCCTTGCATTCTTTCATTCTCAGACCAACTTGTTCTCTGTCCTAAACCAAAGTTGCAAAGGAAACTCAAGACTTACATTTCCAAAGGCAGAACCTGGGAGTCTGCATTAGTACCATACAGGGTGACGTAAAATGTTGGCTCAATTTTCCCCTTGTTCTTGTAACTGAAGACATGGATTTTCATCTGATAGTGATACACTGAACAGATAGCAGAACAAAGATGTTTGTGAGCCCTGTTTCTCATATCAGGGTACCCCAACCCCCACCAAGTCACCTAGCACACTGAGTTTCAGGGATTCATATCCTTTCGGTCCAGGCCAGCCGCTAGGCTCCCTCTGGTCTTGTTTTGTCCAATGGCCTAATTGGCTACTATGGTATAAGAGGAATAGTCCTAAACCACAGGGTTAGGAGATATGTTGGGGACTCAGGCCTACCTACCTTCTACCCAGAATAAAAGAACAAGGTATTAATTTCTCTGAGCCTCAGTTTCTTCAGATATAAAACAATAGCCACAAAACATTATGATTTTATAACATGTAAAATAAATAAAATAAAAATGTAAGTTATCATTTTGGTCTTCTGTTCATCCTCCTTCAGACTTATTGCAGCCAAATAAGAAAACAAATATGAAATACCTTTGCAAAAATACCAGAAAAAGTTTAAGATATTGATATTGCGACCATAAGGACATCACAGAAATCTTTATGCTTGATTGATTGATTTTTATGGTAGTAGGGGCTGAACCCAAGGCCTTTGCACTGAAGTATACCCTCAATCCTTTATTTTATTTTGAGAGAGGATCTCACTAAGTCACTAAGTTGCCCAGGCTGGGCTCAAACTTGGATTCCTTCCATTACAGCCTCCCAGAACACTGGAACTGCAGGCTTGCAGCACCATGCCTGGCTCCATTACTTTTTAAAGAATAACTTTCCTAGGTTATACACGATGTAATCTGATTCATAATAATTTGGTATAACTGTGCTAGCCACAGCTCATGGCCCCCATTCTTCAGCAAGATTATTAAGAAGGAGAAGAAAGACTAAAGGCCCCTTTGGGGCCTGAAAGTTACCTCTGAAAGGCATGTTTGCCCGCGTTTTCAGGTACATTTTGGTGTTCCTCTTGCTTCTCATTTTCCTAGTGTTGTAGCCAATGCTATTACAGCGATTCTTCCTGCAGCTAAGACAGATGCCCTTTTTGAAGCGTTTGGAGTCTGTGCACTGGAAGGCAAAGCTTGGCTTGTCCTGATTCACCAGGGAGTCAACAAAGAGGTCAATGGCTCGTTCATGCTCACATTTTAACACCTCTGTGATTGCTGGGAAAGGAGGAGATGACATTCAAGATGATCCATTATTAATTATTATATGTCTCATCCATAACAGCTGTGTTTATTAAGGCTGTACTTTATATAATTATTAATAAATATACAATGATATTTTAGGACCCTGTTAAGATATAAAATTTCAGACCATCTTGACTACCTAATTTCACTTTCTTGGTGATAAAATGGCACTAATACACAAAAATAAAGTGCAAGATAATTCCCATAAAAGAACTAAATAGAGTGATACAGATCTTCAGTGCACTGGGACTCACTAAGCCCTTTCAAAGAAATATGGTTATGAAAGGAAAGAAATGCATCAAATACTAAACAACATCTAGTCCAGTCCTCAGCAAAATAGGCTGGCAGGCTGGCTACTTATTTTTGTAAATTAAGTTTTATTGAAACATAACCACATTTATTGGCCTATGTATTTTCCATGGTTGCTTTCATGTCATCACAAAAAAGAAGAGTAGTTGAAACAAAGATTATGTGGCCTACAAAGTCTACAGTATTTACCAACTGACACTTTAAGAAAATATCAATACCATGGGCCAGGGATCTAGCTCAGTGGCATAAGTGCCTGCCTGGCAAATGCAAGGATGTGAGTTCAAACCCCAGTACCGCCAAAAAAGAAAAAAAGAAAATATCAATGCCATTGGAGCTTAATCCCTTCAGTTATAGATCATCACCCAAAGATGCATAGAGGTAAGACAAATTGTTCAGCGTCTCACAGACAGCTGGTTGCAGAGTATAATTTGGATTTTTCTGGCCCATAGTACAATATTGTTCTTGCAACCAGAGGCTAAAGCTTATAATTTAAGAAGCTTCTGGAAAACTCGGGAAAAACTTATCAAATTCACCTCTACCCTTTTCTCAGGGGCACCATCAGCCTGAAAAATGCCATTCCAAAAAAACCAAAACACAAAAAATAAAAATAAATTTGATAGTACCAAGTTCGAAAGTATAGGCAAAACTGTGAAGACAGTAAGATTCATTATGAAGCCCATTCCGGTTGATCTTTATCTTCTTTTAAAGTCCTGTAATGTCTCCAATGCTTTGGTTTTATTCTTTACTGTTTTGTTCAATTTTATTATAACTGATGATATAGGCAGTTCTTTTTAAGATAGCAAGAGGCAGTATGGTAACCATTGTTGATCACCTAGTATTTTGTTTTTACATTATTTATTATGTTCATCCTTTTGATTTGACTGACTCTGTTCTGTTATGTCACATTTGGTTCTACTCTCTTCAAAAAAAAGTAATAAGAACTGTGGGAGTAATAAAACCCAAAATGTGTAATTGTCATTGTACAAAAGAAAGGAAAAGAAAGTGCTCTAAAGAATATAATTGCATATATATTTAAGTGTACAAGATGGATGACCATATTACTGAGTTTTGTTGGATCATTGAACAGAACTGTTTTCAGTCTCACTGTTTGAAGGTCCACTTTGTATGCTTTAATTTTGTAACAACTATTTCTAAGATAACAATATGTAATCTATTAACTAGTAATTTCCTACTGTTTATTTTTTTCTGAAATTCTGTATAACTTGTACCCTTTTTCTATTTTTTTTTCTTTTTCTCCTTAAATAAAAAAAATTAAAAAATAAAAATAAATTTTAAAATAAACCTGTCATATTTCTATATTAATCACACTGGGAGAGAACAACAGTTGGAAAAGTGACAGAGTAGGACATCTACAAGGGTGAAGTATCACAAAAGAGAGAGCTGGGTGGGCGCGACACTTGGGGAATGCTACCAGCATCCAACACATTGAAAGAATGGGAAAACCACTCAAGGATCAGTTACTGGCCACACAGCATTTTCAAAAGCAGATTGACTTCAATTTAAGTCTGCTAAGAATAGGCTCATGCATTCAGAAGATAAATTATAATTTAAAAAAAAAAAAAACAAGAAAAAGCTTCTTGGTTTCACACCTTTAAAATGTGACCAAAAATGGAAATACAGTGTTAAATCCATGCTAAAGAATATTATATAGGCTATAAAAAGAATTAGGTTGGTAAATCTACTTACTCTGATGATTAAGCGTGTCTATAATATCGTATGCCTGAGCAAAGAAAGTTGCTAAACAATGTGATTTGCAAAATATGATTATACACACATCAATTTGCAAAGAAAAAAATTGGAAGGATACATATAACAATGTTTATACTAGCTGCCACTGAAGAGTAAAAGTAGAATAGGAGGTTAAGGGGGTTTTTTTTCTTTTTGCTTTATGCAATTCTATATTGCTTGATTGTTTTTTTCAGTGACTATGTATGTCCTACAAAGATATTGGTCAGTAACAACTATGAACTTGAAGCACGAGAAAACAGATGACTGTTAACGGGGATGTGGGATGACACAAAACCCTAAACACGGTGTTGGGGCCCCTGTGGTAGGAGGTGAGAATGACGAAATGAGTGATGTTGGGAGCACTAACAGCTCTGGCTGACTTAGAAGAGCATGAGACAACTGATTCAATACAAAGCAGAAAATAAAGAACTCACTTCCAAATGCAAGTGATCCCAAGACATCATTGAATCCACAGCCTGGCTGAAAGTCACCACCATTAGGGTAGATGTCGATGTGGCCCACAGGCATCTGAATCCCAATGCTCAAGCCAAAGGACCGTGTATAGGTGTGCAGCACGTCCACGAAGTCTGCATCATCAGGGGACAGCCTTCTGTGGATGTCCACCCCTTCAAACATGGGCCCAGCAGGGTCCAGACCTACAACAGGAAGGACCAAGATGGGTCATGTCAGGTGTACCAAGACAGTGAGCCCTGAGTCACAGACAAACCCAAGCTTACAGAATAAATACCCCCTCTGAGGCCAGCGCCATGAGTCTAGGAGAAAACAGGGAGCCTAGTTCCAGATACACTTGACCCAAGACACAAATGAGGGGATTAAATCCTGCTGTTGTGCAACTGCCACTTCCTTCAGAAACCTCAATACACCCTGAAGCCTCAGTCAACCCAGTAAGCTAACCACAAGTCCATACTTCCTCCAGCTCTGAAGAGCCACCTGTGGTCAGAACTGGAGCAGATCTAGAAAGAACTTGAGCTCCCTGAACCTAAAGCATCTGTCCCAGTTATTTACACTGGGAGTTGCCCATAGTCTTAACTTCAGGAGAATTTTCACAGAATAACTAAGCTGCCTGCCTCCTGCTGGAACTCAATCTCCCCAAAATGGGATATCTGTATTGGGGCTTATTTTGCTCCTTCAGTTATGAATCAGGTCCAAGGATGGAAAGGTGGATGGATATTCTAGTACCTCTAGTACAACGAGAACCCAAATATCATACCTCCAGAACATAAAATACAGATTTCCAACTCCCTGACCTCCTAGAGATTCCCGTGAGTAGACTGTCATGGAACTTAGAAATATACATTGATTCCCCAAGTGATCCTACAAGTTGGTGGCCTGTGGACTGGATATTGAAAAACATCCCTGTGCCTAGTATCAACTATGAAATGGAATCTGAATGCCTTAATTCACACTGTTCATTTGAGATATTAAGAGATTAAGTACTCTTCATATTAGCTGATATTCCCACACCCAAGTGATTATGAGAAATGCTTTAGTCTCAACCAGGAAGCCTCTTCTCCAGATAGAGACACACATGGTCCCTGGAGAAAGTTAAATAAGAGATGTGGCAGAGGAAGGGCACTCTGTGTAGTCTAAAATTGTGGTTTGTCATTGGAAGTGATTTGTCCCTTTCTCCCAGGGAACATTTGCTGACATCTGGAGACATTTTTGTTTGTCACAGTTGTAAGGAAGAGAGCTACTAGCTTCTGGTGGGAACAGGTCAGGGATACAGTGAAACATCCTACATCGCACAAGACAGTGCCACACACATGGACATGCACAACAAACCCTGCCTAGCTCCATATGTAAAAAGCACCTTTACTGGAAAGGACATGACCAAGAACAGAAGAAAAAGAAAGAAGGAAGTGGGCGACAGAGTCTGTTCACCAGATCCAGTGTGAAGAAACAGGGAGCACACTGTGAAGTTTGAGAGGATAATCCTAGGATAAATGAAAGTAAATAGTCAGCTGTTTGGCCATTACTCATGAGAACTGTTCAAGGCTGAAACTGGAGTTTCCCAGAGATTTAGACGATTTTATGTGTAAGCAAGATGAAAGAGAGCCCAGACTGCTTAGGGGCTCATCCTTGACCCAGGACCCAAAAGAATGATAGCACGAAAACAGTATCCTTCCAGGATGCCCCCCAATGACTCATTCTAGAGACTGCAAGGACCACAGCACTGACACAAGCATCAGACCCTGCCTCTTGCTGATGCACTGGAGAGGGAATAAATAGAGGAATGTTCTGCTTTGGGACACTCAGCTTTGCAACCAATACAAGAGCGAGGCTCTTTACTCAGTATGAACAAAGGTCCCCACCAGACGTGCAGTGCCATGGAAACCACGCTGCACGGGTGGAATGCAGGCAGCTGACAGGGCCTCACAGGCCAGCCGAGGGGCAGGCGGAGCCTCACCTACTCAGACTGAACTGGGCTCCATGCTCAGACCGTCTCTGACGCTCAGCCATGGTCCACAGACTCAGGGCAATACAACTTACTTTTTAAACTAGGAATGGGAGGAATAACTCATATCTTCAAAAAAGGAGGGGATAGAGAACTTCATACACTTCTTCCTTTCAGTCTTTACCTCCACCTCCAGAGAGAGGCAGCAGGGGTCACTGGTTGGGTGCCAACTCTGAAATCTCACAGTTTGGCTTTGAATCCCAGATCTGCCACTGACAGGATGCAAGATATTGGGCCTGTCATTTAATCCCTGAAACCTATTTTCCCCACCTGTAAAAGGTGCAGCCTTCCTGTGTAGCTCAGAAATCACTTATCTGTCAGGGGTGTATGAACTACTTTATAGGAGGCAACAACTAGGCTAGAGTTTACACAGAGTAGTTGCTTAACTCATATTTCCTAAATAAGTTCATCTGCTTGCTTATTTTTTATAACTACACACAGGTTCAGTTAGAAATATGTGACATCGTCCCCAGTACAGTACAGACTTCTTTCAGGAGAAAGAGAGGGCAAAACCCCTGACCGCACCCTTTGGCTCAAGCAAAAAGGTTACTAGAGTATTCCCCAAGGTATCCCCTTGAAGGCTGGGTTTAGGACGCCCTGGCAGTCTCTGCACAGTGACATCACCAGCCTGAAGATGCCATTCAAGCTGCAGTCTCTGTCCTCTTACCAATTGGAACCACTCGACTCACAAGCCCAGAATAAATCTACCACTGAGGGAAGAGGAGGAGAGACAGCTTCTCCCACCAGACATGCAAGCCATTTGGAACAGGTGAGCCAAACACTCTCTGTGGAGCTGCAGGAGAGAGAGACACGCAGGGGAAATGATTGTGTCCGGGACATGCACGCTGATTAGCATTCTACTGGCTCGGTGAAAAGCCCTCATCTCAGCAGCTGCCACCTAAACAAGCAGAGAGAAAAAGTAGAAAACTCCTTCACCATCCCTAGCTCGTTTCAGACTTATAAACAGAGAAAAGCAAGGACACGCTGGGCCTTGACTGTGGTGCGGGTCTTGTGAGTGCCGCAGTTGGAACCCATCTTGCTTTGTTCTTTCAAGGAATGAGCAGAGATGCTCACGTGGTAGAACCCAGAGTAGCCTCAGGTAGAACTGCTCTGCACCAGCAATGGATTAAGGAGCAGCCAGGCGTGGCCATACAGTTATAGCCCACTTTGGAAGCTCACAACCCCCACCTTAGAAATCATGAATAAAGCTCTCGAGCCACATAGACACGGAGTCACTGGATCTAAAGAAATGTGCAAGCATAAATCTGTGTGTGATCACCTACATATTAGATATAAGCCTGGAAACAACAATTGAAGAAGGACAATAAATCCTCAAAAATGCATTTTTAAAAAGCCTGCCCTACAAGCTTATTGCCAAAACCTGAAATTCTGCACTTACTAAATCATTCTTTGATCACTGATCAGCTCTTTGCTCCTAGGTGACAATGGCTATGGTTTAAATGTGGATCCCAAGAGTCTGTGTGTTAGAAACTTAATCGCCAAATTCAAATGTTAACAGTATTTGAAAGTCAGGCTTTGGGGAAGCAACTGGGATAAGATGATGTCTTCAATGTGGGACCCTTATAATGATACTACTGGCTTTATAGGAGAGTGACCACATTAGCACATTTGTTCTGCCTGACCAGGTAACACCCTTCACCATGTTATCATGCAGCAAGAAGACTCTCCCTCCCCAGATGGCAGGAAACTAAGTAAGCCTTTGTCCTTTTTTTTTTTTTTTTTTTTTTTTGTCTTTTTCATTTTTATCGGTACCAGGGATCAAACTCCCGACTGCCTGCTTGAAAGGCAGGCACTTATGCCGCTGAGCTAAATCCCCAGGCCCAAGCCTTTGTTCTTTATAAATTACCCTATCTGTGCAATTTGGTCACAGCAACAGAAAAGTCTAAGGCACATTTTTAGTATCTTGGAGACAAGAGGGAATGTGGAGAAAAATACATATAAAAGAATGCTGGAAAGAGAAAAAAGATCAGGGCAACCAGTCTACCTTTAATTTTCATATAGAGGAAGTTCTGTGTATCTAAAGGGACCCCAAAATGAAAAAGTGACTCTTTCTTACTTTTCACAATCATTAAATAATTTAATCCAGAATCTAGAATTTCATATTTAAGATGAGATGCATTTTTCAAGATGAAAACTCAATTTTCTAATGACCATCTAGGTACCAATATTGGAAAGTCTGTTTAATTACAAAGTTTAACCATTCATTCTAAATAGGTGGCTATTGTTAACAAATATGCTATTTTAACACTAAAAAGAAGCTATTGGTAAATGAAATAGAAGAGAAGCAGAATTCAAACTAGGATCCATATTCGTTCTTTTCCTTTAAATCCCTGGGCAGAGATCTGAACACCCAGAAGATTAGAATCCTGGGATGTATCCCGACTTCTGCTTTTTCGGGGGGAAGGAGCAGCATCTCACTGTGTTTTCAAGCTGGCCTTGAATTCACATAGCTGAAGCTGGCCTTGAACTGTGATCTTCCTGCCTCAGTCTTCCAGTGCTGGGATAATAGGCATGCACCCCCACGCCTGGCTTAAGTGCTTAGCTTTTTGTGCCTGGGCAAACTGCCTCACCTCTAACTGTTATCTCACCTAATGGACTAGTCCTGTGGTTTGCAAACCATGTTCCCTAGTACTTTGAGAGCCTGAGACTCCTCTGAGGAAATGGAAGGCCCAATTGGCAAGGCTAAAACAACATATATCTACCCATCCAGCTTCAATCAGAATAGCCTCACTATCTAGCTCGTATTTTGAGACCCATACAAGTTCAATTTGATAAGAATTCTGTGACAAAAAAAAAGAATATTTAGAAAGCTCTGGATGTTTTCCAGGCTCCATCACTTTCTCAAGCTGCCTCATTTGGGAGAACTCTGGTTCAGCACAACCAGATGTAGAGAGACTAAGGAAGTGAGCCACAGCAGGTGGCGGTGGCAGAGCTTACCTGTGATTCTGCCCACGGTGCCTTTCACAAAGTTGCCAGCATATCCAGCCACATGTGCTCCAAGACTGTAGCCAATCAAGTGAACATTCCCCAGAGAAAAACCATCCTTTTCCTGTAGAAAGCCACCAATGCATGTGAGGTGAAGAGCACGGTCCTGAGTCCATCAAACTGAGGAGGAGCCACAGGCACAGAGATTCTCTGGGGCACCGCTGGTCACTCAAGATGTGTGGCTCTCAGCCAGGGATGGGAGGGCAAAGGGACTTGCAGCACTTCAAATGCCAAGAGGGCAGGGAGGAGGATGTGATCACAGGCTGCATGCCTGACCATTCTCTCACAAGGCTACCTACATGCTTTCCATCCTTTTGGGCAGTATCTGGGGGGCCACAGGGGCAGCATAGAAATCAAAGACACCCTATTCATTGGAAACTAAAGTACTGTTATAGCCTGCAGCAAACCAATCCCTGCCTGCTCTTAGGCCTTGAGTTTCACCCTGGGCCCAGAAGTTGCTAACCTCCTCACCATAAGCACATCCAGGACCTCAGAGTTGGAGGAAGGCCCCTTTCCAAAGAATTTAGCTGGTGGGGAGTGAGAAAGTGGGGCCTTGACCCCATGGCTCAAGAATAAAACTCTCCAAACCGGGCTCACGTCTATAATCCCAGCACTCGGGAGACTGAGGCAGGAGGATCATTATGAGTTTGAGACCAGCCTAGGCTACAAAGTGAGCTCAAGAACTGCATAGTGAAACCCTGTCTCAAAAAGTACAAGAAGGAGAAGAAGAAGAAGAAGAAGAAGAAGAAGAAGAAGAAGAAGAAGAAGAAGAAGAAGAAGAAGAAGAAGAGGAGGAGGAGGAGGAGGAGGAGGAGGAGGAGGAGGAGGAGGAGGAGGAGGAGGAGGAGGAGGAGGAGGAGGAGGAGGAGGAGAAGGAGGAGGAGAAGGAGGAGAAGGAGAAGGAAGAGAGAAGAAGAAGAAGAAGAAGAAGAAGAAGAAGAAGAAGAAGAAGAAGAAGAAGAAGAAGAAGAAGAAGAAGAAAACTCTCCAAAGCCACAGACAAAGTAGAGAGGGCCTGCTCAAGAACCCTACCCAGAACCAAGGATAGAGCTTAGCAGCACAGCATTTGCCTGGAAAGTGCAAGGTCCTGAGTTTGATTCTGAGGCAAAAAAAAAAAAAAAAACCCTGCCCAGGATTCTGCCAGAACTCATCAGTCTCCATGGGTAAAAGGAAATCAGGCTAGACTTGACCAAATCCAAGGGGGACTTTACCAGTATATCCCTGTCCTTCCTGTCCCAAAGAAATTCACTTGTCTCAGGCAAATCATCAACTCATAAAAAGTAAATACAAGATTTGTTTTGCACATTTAATGTTTTAAAGAAGTCTAACAGGCTTCCTGTGTTTTTTGGTACCGGGATCAAACTCATGACCTCACACTTGACAAGCAAGCGTTTGTGTCACTGAGCTAAATCCCCAGTCCTGGGTTTCCTGCTTTTGAACCAGTCTCTTTCCCACCGTTAGCACAGCCATGCTTCAGAGGCAAGAGCAATCTTCAGAAAAAGTTGAAGATGACACAACTATCCTAAGGACATCAGCTTTAAGTTCAGCAGCTTCTAAGGTCAGCAAGTAACTAGTCATAAGGCAGATTTTCTTAGGCAAATAAAGTAAAAATTCAGAGATCTATCAATAATTTAAACATCCTCTAAAAATCCTAGCTTTCAAGTATTTCAAGTAATACTTAATTCAGAAAAAAATTAATTTTAAGATTTTTGTCAGAGTCTGGAAGTTCACAGCAACACATGTGGCCTATATTTCCCCAGGACATTGATGTTTAAGGTCCTGCTTGCAAGAGATGACCCCTTTCCACCCTAGTTACCTGTAGCCAGTCAAGCATCCTTGCCACACTGTGCCCCACCACCCTGGAGTTATTGACTGCATCTGGGTACAGCTGATGAGCCAGGGGTAGCCAGTCCACCACTACTACATTGGCATCTTTCTCTCTTGTCTGCAGGGCTGACACAAGTTTGTACAGCCAGTTATGAAGCATGCCACCCATCTGCAAAGAAAACAGGAAACTTTAAAAGAAAATTCTTCCTCTGGACTTTGAAATGCTAACACATAAGTTCCTGATTTACAAAGAGTTCCATTCTAAGAGACGTTCACGAGTCAGATACAAGTGAGTTTTATACAGTATATCTGTGACCGTTCACAAAGTCTGAGACTTGCTGTATAGAATTTCATTTCATAACCCTCAATCCACCTGATTTTAAAATCCTCATCTCAGAGCATCAGGAACCAAACATTTACACATGCGCAGGACCACTCAGAGACAGAATGGCTACATGAACGTTTTCTTCCATTGCTCTATATACCCCCAGTTTTTCCATTAAAACTCTCATAGGTGGGGACCTATGCTATTACCCTGCTACCTATGAGATATAGCTATGCTGGTGGTGATGCTGGTATGACGTTAGCTGAGTCCCTGCCACAATCACACAAGTAGCTTGGTCCATCCTTCAAAGGCAGCTGGGAAGGGTTGCCCTGGAGAATCAGCTCCTCCCTTAGAGATGCAGGGAAATGCTGTTTCCTAGGCAAATACAGGGTGAACAAATGACCCCTTCCCACAACCCATCTCTGCCAACCCTTTTAACCCCAGTCTGGAAAAATCCATTCCTAGAATCCCAAATAGAACTCAGGACTCATTTTCCCACAGAAAGAGAGTTATAAATGGTTACTCGGCCCAGTTGTAAACCTATCTACAAGTACATTATCCGATAAATAGATTTTTCTGTGCTTTGGCTGGAAATTCAAACACTATTTACAATCTTCCTTCTAGGGGAAACTGCTGTTCCAAGTTCCAAACACATTAAAAGGAACTTTCTGAAATGTACCCCAAATGCAGGATGTATTTGCATTTTGACAGAAGGGCCTTAAAAAGATTCAAATGCATGATTCCTGTTGCAGGCTGTGGGATGAGGACTGGGGACAGGACTTTAATTATTACTTCATTGCATTAAGTATGTAAGCACCTACCCTCCCCATACAGACCCCAGCCCCAAATGTTGGTGACAGACCTAAAGACCCAGAAAGAATATAACGGATATGAATTTCTCATCATTAAGCAGAAGAATGTCCCCACCCAATTAGCCAGGGCAGAAACCTGCTCATTTAATAGTGCCATTTTCCTACAGACTGCCATTATAGGGATGAATAAATCCCTTGCTGGCCAAGAACTTCTGAAACTGCGAGTTAAAGCCCTTTTTTTGTTGAAGTTTGTCATGGGCCTTTCAATGGGAATTGCTCAGCTAGGTCACATAAAGAGTCCCAGTGCCTTTAAACGGGGCCATCTCTATGCAAACAGGAGGGCACCATGCCAACAGCAGACAGACAGCCCCGCCAGCTGGTCCCTCACAGATTCTCAGAGTCAGTCAAGTTGCTTCAGGGAAGCTCAGCTCTTAAGGCAGGATGGCCCCCTCCAGGCAGTGGTTGACCAATGTAATTAGGTATAATTAGAGGGCCCTTCAGAGCCAGTGGAGCTAGGCTGCTCCCCTCAGGAGAGCCACTCTCTGAAAGCTTGTGGTGTGCCAGCACTAAATGCCACCCTGCTGGAGTCCAGATCAGCTCCCTCAGCAAAGCGTCCATTACATTCTTCACAGCTGTCTGAAATACAAGCAGCCCACAGGGAAAGGGGGGAGACTTTGGAATGTGGAAGCACCAGAATTCTTTTTAATTGACCAAAACAAAGGGAACCAAATTTGTGTAAAGTCCCAGAGCTCCCTCCCTCGGCTCACCGTCCATCCATGAATGATGAAAAAGGTTTTGGCTGTCACGTTGAAGCCACAGTCTTCTAATTGCTGGTTGTGGTCAGGAGACAGGTAACATCCTTCATGCTCTGGGTCCTTAGAGTCTCGGAGGTTAAAACGCACAGGTTTGGCTTCAGCCTGTACCTCCCTCGATTTGTGAAGCTCATCTGGAGAGAAAAAACAGAACCTGTGTGCTTCTAATAGGTAGAGCCATGACAGGTCTAGTTGTAGTCCAGTCTGAGCAAACTACCTAACCATCTAGTTTTTACACCTGCTGAATGCTCCCTACTCACCTTTTGGGAAAATTGTGAAGATATTAAAAGGGGATATTACATGTGTACTCAATAAGTATTTAATAGTCACCATGGTTATTACTATGGCTCTGAAATAGGCATCTGTTACTTTTTTCTATACATCCATCCTGTTATGGTTTGTGCCTAGATGCCCTCCCCCAAAGCTTCATGTGGTCATAGCTTTTTAGAGGTGGCTGAATCTAGTGTGTGATTGATTTGTAGTACAATTCTAGGATTAATGTGCTGGGATGAAGAGTGGGTGGCTGCTTGGATTGGTTCTGCCTTAATCCCAGCAGAGGGGATACAATCTAAGGGATAGAAAGAGGCTTGCTATCCCTCTCTCCCTTGCTACTTTTGCTGTCCTCTGTCACCATGAATGGTTACCCCTCTGTCATGTGTCACCTCTGCCTTGGAGTCAGCTAATTATGGACTGAAACTTCTACAAACTGAGCTAAATGAACTTTTCTTCCTTTAATTTTTGGTGTCAGGTATTTTCTCTGAGTAACCAGGAAAGTAACCAAGATACATTCAAACCAAAACAACTTTTTTCCCCTCAGGATCCTACTTTTAGTGAATGGGTCTTTGATTCTTTTTGCAAAAAGCCTAAGACCAGCTAGGTCCCTTAATTCAGAAATTGTCGTATTTCAGAAAGACATACTATATATTATGTTACAGAACATATACTGTATATTATATAACACTCCCCCACAAATCAAATACTCTTAATACTTCTGCAGAGATATGTAGGATTACTTATACTCAAGGGCAAAAATGAAAAGATTATGAATAGATTCCTGCCAATTTTTCAGTTTTGAGAGATTCTGAATTTTGCAATTGCAGAGAAAGAGGCTGTTGGCCTGTTTGTTGTATAATGGGCTTTCCCTGGTGTCCCCATCTTGCTTCTAGCACTTTCTTCAAGGATTTTATACATCCTCAATTCCTTTGCAATGTGGCAGGCACCAGGCATTCATCCAGTGTGTTACACAAAATGATTGAAGCCATGAAGAAACTCCTTAGAGAAACAAAGCCACCCCTTCCACTTCTGCCACACGCATATAATGTTACTGAGGTGACCCTGTTTTCAAAGCTCAGCCTATGTCACTGATGGCTTCTACGATCATGACACTAGGTGAGCACTGTCATTACCACACTATTTCAGATAGTTATTAATGGTCCCCCACCAGCACTGTCTGAGCCATCCTGGTAAGTATTACTAGATCATATGCTAGCCAGCTACAGCATCAAACTCTCCAGTCACCAAGAAGTCAGGAAGATAACCAAATGACCACAGCAAGAATATAAATTATCCCAGAATTAAAAAACAAAAGGGACCATGGAAAGAGTGATCATAGTTGTGGAGAAGGTGGTGACAGAGGTGGAGGAAACAAAGGACAGGGAGGAAACGGACCGGATAGATGTAAGAAGGGTTAGGTTCCAAAAAATGCTGCTAAATACATATGAGCAGAACTCAGGTTGATCATTATCAAATATACAATATACAAATGCCCCAAATGGCAGTAATTTGAACCATAGCCGTAGGTACTCTGACAGTTCCCCAATTTCTGCCTGAAGAGCAGAGAGTAAAGTTTAGAGCAAAAGAGGTCTGCTGGCCTCCTGAAATAAGCACGTGAACAAATCCACGCAGGGACAAACTAGTTCTACCTTGGCATCAGGCTTGCTCTGACCCCACAGTTCTCTAGCTTTATTTCCGTTAAGCTGGGACTAGGTCACTTTGCCTCTGGGCTTTCTGACCGTTCTTCACCCACATGTGTTTGTGGTTTCTCTCTCACCACTTTGAGCTCTGTGTTCAAGGGGCAAGTTCTCAGGTAGGCCTTCCTAACCACACAATGTAACCTCACCACCTTCCCCCAAACCCACTCCATCCTTCCTTCCTCTGCTCTTTCCCTCCATTAGCCTAAGCCCCATTTCTGTATTTTCATTAGTTCACTGTCACATTGTGCCACAAGGGCTGAGGCTGACATCCATTCTGATCCCTGCTGTCTCCTCCACTGCTGGAAGAGTCTTGCCACTAAGCGGAAATGCAATAATAATTTAAATGAATGACATGGCCCAGAAACATACACAACACAAAAGGTGGAAGGAACATTAGCATTTTTCAGAAAAGAAACAAGAGATGTGACACATCCTAGGCCATTCTTCTAGTCAGCACTAGAGTTGGAAACACATTTAGTAAAGCAAGGCTTTCTCATTCATTCAAATGATTTCTCCTGCAGGTACTTAATCTGACATTTGGCTCAACATCTGCAAACAGAGCTGAAGGGCTGGGACTGGGTTTAAGGGTTGCCCCTCTGTGCACAGCTTCACCAGCTGGCTCTAGGTGACCTTCCCTCATTCCACCACGCAGGCAGCCTCCAGTGGGAAATAATGCCATCGGGGACCCAAGAAGAAGAAAAGGAGAAGAGTGAAGCAGAAGGATTTGCTGGGGAGGGAAGTGGCTGACAACCTGGAAGAATGACATCATGACATCCCCTGTTGTTTCTCAGCCCAAGTTACCCACCACATGGCTCCTGTAAGCACTAATCAAACCAAAGCCAGCTGTCCTGTCCCCAGAACTTTCAAAACACCTACCCAAGGTTAACAGGAGGTGTGCCAGAGAGAAGGCAGAGCTCTTTCTAACAAACTGCTTGCCTCCACCTTCAAAAAGAGCAGTTGGCAGCCAAGTCTGCTGGCTGGACCGCAATGATTAGGGGAGCAGTATAACGGAAGGGGGCAGGGCCAAGAAGAAGGCGCGAGCCAGGGCACCCTACCCACCTGTCGCCTCCTGGATGACAGGCTAAAAGATCCCTTTATCACTCCTGGATGACTCGCTAGGGGATCCCTTGCTCCCTAAGCGCCAAGGAACAAGTGGCCCCCATGGCCCAGTCAGAGGAGAGAACGCATCATGCAATGGAAAAGGAAGAGGATTTAGCAGGAACACGGAGGGCCTGAAGAAGAGTCGGCAAGGCAGAGGGGGCCTAGCACGGAAAGGATGGGGAGTAAATAAAAATAAATGCACAGTACCTTCCAGCTGTCCCTCAGGAGCAAAGGGTGTAGGGCTTCCCGCCGCAAAGCAACAATAGATGCTCCAGAAGCAGAGAAGAACAGAATTTCTCATCCTTCTCTTCTTCCCCACACCTCCTCTCCTGAACCAGGGATTTTATTTTTTTTTTTTTTCCCAAAAAAGCCACCACCACCTCCCGAGCTGGTACAGCTCAAAGGTAAGCTGCCTTCTCTCAGCCAGGTGATGCTCTAGATGGAGCAGAAGGAGGAAGTTGAAACTTTGGCTGCCCTGATTGCAAGACTGAGGGAAGGGGGAGTGTGTCCGGGCTTGCTGCAAAGCGTGCCCTCTCCCCAAACCCCTGGGAACCCAGGCTCCTCGCTGTCAGACGGCGAGCTCCTGGAGAGGTAGTTTTTAAAGTATCGGAGTCATCTGACCCATCGCCAGATTGTTATTTGCATAATTTATTCTCGTTTCTGGACGCTGATTGGTCACACCTTCGCTGACGCTGCAACCAAGTCTCCCCAAAGTTTGAATGAAAGCGCCACACACCCACAACGTGGACGCCAAAACGCGTGGACTTGCTGCTCCTTCGCCGGTCGGCTTGCAGGGTGCTGCAACTCCAGTTACCTGACTATCCTCTAATTTCTTCCCGAGGACTGCAAAAGCCTCCACTCGCCCCTTTGGTTCCAAGGGGGACATCTCCAGGAAACCGTGCGCCAGCTGCGGGCGCGATCCCTGGAGAAGGGAAGGGAGTTCATCCTTTCCAAAGTGCATCGCTATCCCGGGCCGAGAATAGCCCCCCGGTGCCGCGGACCCAGAGTCCCGATGTAGCAGAGCCACCTGCTCGTCTTGATCCTTATCTTTCACTCCCGCACAGAGAGGGCAGCTACAGGTGCAAACTGCGCGATCCCACAACGGCCTTTAGAGCTGAGGGCGTTTCAGGGTCAGATAAACTTTGCTCGGAGACCTGGTTCACCACTGGCTGCAAAACTGCAAGGTCTCCAAGACCATTTTCCCCGCCCGCAACACATGGACGATTACAGTTCCTGCCACTTAGGGATTTGGGGGGAAATAGGAGTCCCGCGCCAGGCGGGCGATCTCCCGCGTCGGGTGGAGAGCTGGAGGGTTAACAGGGGATTGTGGCCCGGTCTCCGCACACGCGCTGGAACCAGCTGGTGAGAGAAATTTGGCAGCTTATTCCTTTTTTTCTCCGTCGTCCCCCGTGTCTCTCGTTTTCTCTTTTGATCTGAGTGCAGAAACTGAGCGGCCAGCGCTGGAGACAGTGGCGCGGAGTGCGCGCCGGGCGCAGGACGGTGAGGCTGAGCCGGGACCGCGGCGGAGCCCTGCGCCTCGCCGACCTGGGGAAGCAGAGCGCACGGGCGAGATGGGACCCGCAGCTCCGGCTGCACCCAGCCGTCCGCCCCCTGCCAGCCCGGAGAGCGGCCTCAGCGAGGCGGCGCCCTTGAGCGTGAGTAACCCCGGGATTGCGAGGAACCGGTCTTACACCTGGCAGGGGAGAACCCCCACCGCAGCTCTGCACCCCTTCCTCGCTCCTATCCTCTTTTCAGCTTGAGAGACAGGTATAAAGAAACGGTCCGGAGCGAGCTGGTGCTGTGCTGTTCTGACCTACGCTAACCTCGTTATTTTGTGACTCCAGCGCCCTGCCCTATGCTTTGTGCCTCGCATGGGCTATCATTCATTAACAGGAGGCAAGCAGGCTTTAAAAAAAAAAAAAAATGAAACTCAGTATTTCGTATGGGTTGGGTAATGTCACCCCTAGATACGTTGCTTCCATCAGCCTCCCGCTCTCCCTCTCCATTGGCAAAGTACACAGGCACCGCGCAGGTGTTATCTCCATTTTACAGATGGGAAAACAGTCGTGGGGATCGGAGGTAGTTTGAAGGAAGTCTCAGTCCAACAGGGCCTTTCTCGTCTGCTCTCAGTTTGATTTGCCCAGTTGATTTCTAAATATAAGCGCTTTGGAACTTTCTCTCCGTTTCTTTCGTAGTTGAGGGGGTAACGTGATTAAAACCCTCTTCTCTTATTTCTGGGCAGTGGAGCCCAGCGACTCAGGAGGCCGTGGCAGAAAGATGACTTGAATGCACAAGCTCTAGGCAGCCTGGGTAATAAAGCAAAAAAGACAGCATCTTGAAAGTAAACAAACAAACCTAAAACTCCTCTTATTCTGATTTGATCACAACCACTGTTCCAAGCACATTAAGGGGACAATGTGGATTGTGTGTCATGGACGCCTTCATCACAGGTAAGGTACCCTGCAGTGGACAGACATTCCTGAACAAATGGTTGTCCTACCTGAAACAGCAACAGCAACAAAAAGATTCAACAGAACCAACATCCATTCTTAACTGCCAAGGCTATGAAGCCATTCAAGCTTTCATTGCTGGTTGGTTAGAGTGCCCTCCTACATCATACAAGAAATTTCCAAAAACCATAATAAAATTACACTCATAGCATTAGAGTACATACCATCAACCATTATTCTTCATACTTTCCAGAAGAACCACAGAGATTTGAGGAGTGTCCTGTGTGGAAGAATGTCCCCTGGAGGACACTCCTGTGAAGTTTCCACTGTATGCCAGTCAAAATTGAAGGTCTCAAGCTACCGTGGTAATGACCTCTCTTCATGCTCTTTCAGTAACCCCGCATCTAAAGACCCCACCTGTAATACCCCTCATATAAGAGCTCACCACCTACTACAGAAGCTAAAAGGCAAACGTGCAGCCCCGCCTCCCTTGGAACTAGAGTTCACAAATTAAACTCAGTTAACAGACTGAACTGGGAGCTAGCGAGGCTTCCACTAGTGAATGCCCACTCCACTGTGTCAGTGGACAGTCGGTTCTGCTTCTCGGAGGCAGCAGTGGAGTGTCTAGCAGACTAGTCTGCAGAGAAATTTGGCATTGCTGTCTCCCTCAGTGTATCCTCCAGGCGTGGTTCTGCCCTGCAGAGATTCCAGTCCCTAGCCAATGTCATCTTAATGAGTTACTCTGTAGCATAAATCATCTAGATATTGCTTGTATTGATTACAGCTAAGAAAATGACTTTTTTATCAGGTATTTATTGAACAGCTACTAGTGAGAAACACTAGGCTGAATGGCTCAAGGAATGCTTTGGAGGTCATCCTTGCTCTCCAGACACAGTATAGTTAAAAATACCAGAAGACTACCATGTTAAGGTTTCCAGAGATCTAGACTAATGTCCAGTAGAACTAATACAAACCATATGTCTTGGCCAGTTCAGGCTGCCATGATAAAATATCATGTACTGGGTGCCTTAAACAATAGAAATTTATTTTCTCATAGTTTTGGAGACAAGTCAAGGTCAGGATATAAGCATAGCTGGGTTCTGGTAAAGGGCCTCCTCCTAGTTTCTATTTGGCTGACTTCTCATGGTGACCTTATGTGGCAGAGAAAAGAAAGTGCTAGTTTCTCTTCCAACAAAGGGCCTTAATCCCACTGTGGCCCCACCCTCATGACTTCATCTGAACCTGCCTTACAAAGGCCCCGCCTCCTAAAATCACAGTGGGAGCAGGCCATGCTGACATAAACAGTCCAGAGACTGAGGCAGGAGGATCTTTGCAAGTTTGAAATTAGCCTGGGCTACAAAGTGAGCTCAAGCCCAGCCTGAACTACATAGCAAGACCCTGTCTCAAAAAGATAAATAAATAAAATTAAAAATTAAATCATCATAGTGGAAATCACAGCTTCAATATATAAGTACAGGGAGACAATAGTCCATAGGACCATATAGGTAATTTTACATTTTGCGTTAGCAGCATTATAAAATGAAAAGAAACACATGAAATTAACTCTAATAATTCATTTAAGCCAATATATTCAAAATATTATTTCAACATATTGCCATTATAAAGGTTATTATAAAATCCAGCATGTATTTTGCACTTGTCAGCATACGTCCATCTGAGTAATCACATTTTAAATGCTCAGAAGCCCATGTAGCTAATGGCCACCATATTGGACAATATAGATCTAAAGTATCAAAGATAAAATCAGGTGCAGGACATGGTGGCAGGCTCTTGTAATCCCAGTACTTAAGAAACTGAAGCAGGAGGATTACATGTTGAAGGCCAGTCTGGGCTACACAGCAAGACACTGTCTCAAAAGCAAAATCAATCCGAGAAATCATTTAATAACCATTTCAGTTAACAGATAATTAATGAGCACCCTACCAGATTAACTAACTTGCTCAAGTTCATATGGTTGGTGAAAAGGCAGAGACACAAATTCAGGTTTCTGACTCCAAGATCAGGTCTTTTCTTATGGCCTCTTCCTGTGTCAAGACAGAAAAGGCTAATGAAGAATTGGAAGGATCAGGCTTTATAGAAAGCTGGGAATGAAGTTGTATTGTCTTAATTAATTTCTCATTGGTAAGACAAAATACTAGACATCAAGTTAAAGAAGGAGAGATTTATTTTGGTTCACAGTTTGTAGAAGTTTTAAACCATATTTGACTGGTTCCAAGGCAAGAGGGTCTAACAGCGGGGCATGGCAGAGGAGAAACAGCCCACGGATGGCAGGCAGGAAGCAGAGAGAGGAGTCAAGGGAGGCTGGGAAGGAGACAAATCCTTCCAGGTCACACCTCCTGTGACCTAATTCTCCAACCAGGTTTCATGTCCCAAATCGCATTTAGCTATAAGTTTATCAGTGGACTGATCCACTGATTAGTATTACACCATCATGATCCAATCAAGTATCCAAACCCACACCTTTGAGCACATGAGGCTTTGGGGCTACATCTAGATATAAACCGTAACAGTCATTCATTCAAAGAGAGATGAAGAAAGAGAAGAAGAAAAGCTAGCACAAATGCAATCCCATCAAATATTAAACACTTGTCATATTCTTGATATTGTGTTAGATGCTACAGAAAACTCAATAAAAAATGAAAACTATAATTGAATGCCCACCTTATTAAAAATTCCAAGAAGAAAAAATGTTTTTTTAAATTTTATTTAAAGAAAAAAAATCAAAACAAAACAGTAAAAGGGTACAAGTAATACAGAATTTCAAAAAAATAAAACAGTAAGAACTCACTAGTTAATAGATTACATATTGTCATCTTAGAAATAGTTGATCAAATTACAAAATTAAGCATACAAAGTGGACATTCAAACAGTGAGACTTCAAACAGTTGTGTTCAATGATCCAACCAAAACTTAGTAATATGGTCATCTATCTTACACACCTAAACACACTTGCAGTTGTGTCCTTTAGAGCACTTTCTTTTCCTCTCTTTTTTACAATAACATTTACACATTTTGGGTTTTATTACTCCCACAGTTCTTATTCCTTTTTTTTTTTTTTTTTTTTGGAAGAGAATAAAACCAAATGTGACAAAACAAAGCAGTTAGTCAAAACAAAGGATGAACATAATACATG